GCCCACACACTAGAAGCAGTCACGCGAGCGTTTCGTACGAGACTTCCTCCAAAAGTCACGCTTCGAGGCTGCAACACGAGCGTTTCGTACGAGACTTCCTCCTAAAGTCACGCGTCAAGTCTCCAAAACGGAGCGTTTCGTACGAGACCTCCTCCAAAAGTCACACGTCAAGTCTCCAAAACGAGCGTTTCGTACGAGACTTCCTCCAAAAGTCACGTGTCAACTCTCCAAAACGAGCGTTTCGTACGAGACTTCCTCAAAAACTCACGTGTCAAAGTCTCCAAAACGAGCGTTTCGTACGAGACTTCCTCCAAAAGTCAAGCGGAAACACCCATCGGAGCACACACATCACGCAGCCCTGCCAAGCAGTTTCGCGATTCCAGCCCCTCCAAACGACACCCGCTCACACTCCAATCCCAATGTGACAGCGACATTCACCTCTACCATAACTCACGACCTCGCGATTCCCTGCGCCTGCCACGAATCTTTCCGCATCCACACGTCTAACGCGCACAAAGTACTGCGCCTGCCACGAAATGTCAACTCCGTCACACCTCGCAACCTCACGATTTCCTGCGCCTGCCACGAAAATCGCACTTCCACACCTCAAAATCAGCACAAAGTACTGTGCCTGCCACGAAAAGTGAGAATATCGTCTCACATGAGCTTCAACAAAATTTGCACCACACCACACGTTTAGAATGATTTCGACCCGTTCTGAGCACACTCCCATCCACCAAAATCGCCATTTCAGCTGAGACTTGTCACGAAAACAGAGCTTCGATGCCACACCCTGAAATGCAAATCCCAATGGCACGGCCACATCCAACACCCCAAAAACACGACTCTCCAAACGCTAATCCCAATGGAACTGCGCAGTAAACTGCGGATCTCTCAAACCACTGCGCCTGTGCAGCGAAATGCATCACGCTTCTTGCGCGACATGTCATTTTCATGCAAATCACAATGGAATAGCGTCGCAAACTGACACGTGACACATCCATGAAAAGTCACTTGCAAAAGCTTCCCCCAATGGCAGCGCCTTAGCGTCCTACTGCGAACGGTTGCGGACGGTTGCGAACGGTTGCGGACGGTTGCGAACATAGAAACAACGGATCGCGAACAAGACTCTATACCCCCAGACCCCCAAGAGTTAAACGAGAACCCTTCGCTACGCATTCGGGAAAAAGAACATCACCAGTCAGTTTGCCACGTGAAACCATGGTCTTTGTCAGGCCTTTCTGCGATTACTCGTCCTCCGTGTGAGTGAAGAGGCGATGGACGAGTGAAGGGTTTCAATAGCTCAAGGGGATAGCAAAAGGAACCTACTCGTACGAGCGATGGCCTCCAACCTACTAGCAATGGCCTCCAACATCCTCCAACCTACTAGCAATGGCCTCCAACCTGCTAGCAATGGCCTCCAACCTGCTAGCAATGGCCTCCAACCTACTAGCGATGGCCTCCAACCTACTAGCGATGGCCTCCCCCTTAGATTTTGGTTTTGTTGCCAAAAACATTGCATTCACATGCATTCACTTGTAACATCAGTGGTGTTCGTTACGTGTTTCTTTGCCTGTGTGACTTTCTTTTTGTGTGTGTGTTTTCATTTTTTGTGTGTTTTTATAGTATACAGCATATATAATCAAAGGAAGTTTAGTGTGCAAAACTTCCGTGTTACGGACATTCAGCAGCTGTTCAATACACCACTCATCATACACCACTCATCATACACCACTCATCATACACCACT